GCCGCCCGCGGCTCACTGTGGGTCTCGCCACGTTGCCCGGGCGGGTCTCGACCCCCCGGGCTCAGGCAGTCCTCTGCCTCCCGGAGCGCTGGGCTGACAGGCGTGCCCGCGCCTGGCCGCTGTCTCCCTTCTGAGCCCGCCCTCCTCCCAGCCGGAGACCACCCCCAGGTCAGCAGGCTCCCTGTGGAGAGGCTCGGTCTCCCTGGGAGCCACGCACCGCTGTCTGTCGCCCCCGTCTTAGCTCCAGAGTGGTCACCTGCCACCTCGGCCGGTCCCCAGGGGTTCTGGAGCTCCAGGTCCCGACGGGTGTGTGCTGGCAGGTGTCCACACGCAGGCGTGTGTCTGTGTGCAGGTGTGTGGCTGGTGTGTGTCAGTGTGTGTGCCAGCATGTATCCATGTGCAGGCATGTGGCCAGCATGTGCCGGTGGGCAAGCAGCTGGCAAGTGCCCATGTACAGGCATGTGGCTGGCATGTGTCCATGTGCAGGCGTGTGGCTGCTGTGTACCCATGTGCAAGCATGTGGCTGCCATGTGCCAGTAGGCATGTGTTCGTTTGCAGGCAAGTGGCTGTCATGTGTCCATGTACAGGCATGTGGCTGGCGTGTGTCTGTGTGCAGGCATGTGTCTGGTGTGTGGCAGTGTGCAGGTGTGTGGCTGCCGTGTGTTGCTGTGTAGGTGTGTTTCTGACGTGTTGCTATACAGGCATGTGGCTGGCACGTACCCATGTGCAGGCATGTGACTGGAAGGTGTCTGTGTGTAGACATGCAGCTGGTGCGTGTCCACGTTCAGGTGTGTGACTGGTGCGTGTCTGTGTGGGGTGGGGTCTCAGGTGTGGGCAGAATTGCCCCCCACCACATGCCCGCACTGCAGAGCTTCAGCAGACAGGCTCGGGGCCATCTTTGTTTCTGCTTCTGGATTCGCCTTCCCTTCTCCACCCCACGGGTCTACCCGCAGTGGAGACAGCCCGGGTGTGAGCAGGCCCCCCCCGGCAGGGCTCGGGCAGCCGAGGCTGTGAGAGGAGCGGGCAGGGGCGGGGCTGAAAGCCTGGCTGGAGGAGCCCCTGCAGTGCAGCGCGTTATGCAAGAGGCAGCTGGCTGATCAAGCACTGCTCACATGCTCACCTGGTACACACCCCGTCCACGGGCACGCACGCTCACACACACGAGTGTGTGACAGCACACACGTGTCCACTGCACACGTTCACTCACACACACATGCACACCCGCAGCAGGCTCGTGCCCACACACTGCTTGGCATGCCTACCCAGGCGCAGACATAAACACGTGTTGTGACACACTGGCTCAGCCATGCATGCATATGTATTACTAGCATAGACATGTTGAGGTACACAATACACACATGCACAGCCCAGCACACACGTGTGAACACCTGCATGGGCACACATGCACACACGTGTTCTTACAACACTGCCCTATGTCCCTCTCTGGGCACCCATGGAGCCAACTGGCAGTGAGAGCTGGGGCGGGGTCAGTCCTGACAGCTCCAGCCGCAGGGTCCCCCCCCGGAATTCTGCTCAGAAGTGCCCCTCCACACCCCATGTGCCCCCTCCACACCACCCCATCCCTCTACCCAGGGCACAGGACTAGGGGACAGGTCAGCGGCCAGTGGCTTAGGAAACACGTTTCATCTGCAACGGGCGGGATGTGGGGGTGGGGCCCGGGACTCCGGCCGGGCCCCTTCCAGGGAATCCCTTCTGCAACTCTCCGCTTTGCTGTCTGTAGGCACCGCCTCCCTGAGCAAAGGTGGTGGCTGCGGTTGCTGCTCCCAGAATGCTCCCTCTGGGCAGGACACTGTCCTGCCTTGTGGCCGCACACTGCTGCTTGCCCATCTGCAGAAGAAAGTGGGACCTGTGGCTCTGGGAGGTAGAGGCAGAGTTGGGGACAGACAGGTCGTTCTGCCGTGGAGGTGAAATCGACGCCCTCATCGGCCTCCCTGCGTCGGGAGGGGCTGGGGAGAGAAGGGCAGTGTCCACCCCAGGGAGCACAGCCGCTGTGTGCAGGCGTGTGTGCAGGCGTGTGTCCACGTGCAGGCGTGTGTCCACGTGCAGGCGTGTGGTTGGCATGTGTCTGTGTGGAGCTGCTGGTCTCGGCCTGCCCGCAGTATCGGGTGCTGGCAGGAAGACCCGGCCGCCCGCAGTACCACCCCTTCCCCAAGGGTGAGGCAGGCACTCACGGCAGGGCTGGGTCTTGTTCAAACACAGCCCGTCCCAGGCTCTGAACGCCTGAGGAGAGGGCCCAGGCCACTCTCTGCTGCTTCTGCCCTGGAGCCTGAGGCAGACTTCAGGGGGGCGGCCCTGTCTTGGGTGCTGCCTCCCTGACCTCTGACCCAGCAGAACCGGCCACTCTCCAGCCGGCCTGGGGAGTAGGTGCTGGGGAAGGGTCGCGGCAGAGGCGCCTTTCCAGGCACCACAGGGCAGACCCTGCAGGGGCCCTGGCCAGCCGGACGGGGGGAGGAGGGGAGGCCCAGCAAGGCTGTGTGTCCTTTGGCCCCAGAGATGGCTGTGGAGTCTCGCGCCTCTGAGGTGGGGCCGGGCATGCCCCCAGCCTGCCGGGCTCTGCCCCGGAGCCTCCGGGACTCACCCCGTCTTCTTGTCCACAGGTCTATGCCATCCTGGTGAGCCACCCGCCCACGCCCAATGACCACTTCACGCCCACCCCCGTGTCCTACACCGCCGGCTTCTACCGCATCCCTGTCTTGGGGCTGACCACACGCATGTCCATCTACTCTGACAAGGTGAGCCTGACGCCTGACCAGACGTGGGCAGCCATGCGTGGCCGGTCCAGGAGGGCAGGGAGCACCGTGCCCGGGGGCTCAGCCCTGGCGCCTGACTTCCACGCCCCGCGGTCACACACGGGCACACAGCACCCCCCACCGGGCACAAGCATGCCCATACACATATGCCCAAACACACTCTCACAGTACTCAAAACCACACACCCACGCTGTCACACAACTCACCCACACACACCCACGCATGCTCATATGTCCAGCTCATCGTCACACATGCCACATGCACACACACACCGCACACTCGTGTGGGATACAACCCACCCACGCTCAGGCACGTACCCAGCTCACAAGCCGCACACTGTCACACGCCCATGTGCACACCCACACCTCACACACTGGCACACACCCATCCTCACTCGTGCGCGCGCACGCCCCCACATCCATGCGCACTCACATGGCCACTCACACCCACGGGCCACACTCATATGTGCAAACTCACCACACACGTGCACGTGCACCCACATACACGCACATGGCCACTCACATACACTCATATCCAGCTCAGGCAACCTCACACACCCATGTGCACTCACATGCACACACTCAGAGCACACGACTCACCCACACTCGCGCGCACCTGCACACACTCACGTCCAGCTCACACGGCCCCTCATACCTCCTCACATGGCACACTCACACACACACGTACTCAAGTGCCACAAGCTCCATCACCCTCACATGGTCACTCATGGGTACCCGCACACACTGACATGTGACCCTCCCGCACACTCCCAGATACAGTTGCACGGGGTCCTGTGAACAGGCAGATGGCCTGACAGGTGACAGGTACTGATCCCATGCCTCAGGAGTGGACCTGGGGCTGGGAGGAGGGACAGACGGGCTTTTTTTTTTTTTTTTGAGTTGGAGTCTCAGTCTGTCGCCCAGACTGGAGAGCAGTGGCCGCTCCCGGCCACCGCAGCCTCGACCTGCTGGGCTCCGGCGATCCTTCCGCCTCAGCCTTCCAAGCAGCTGGAACTACAGGCGCGCGCTACCACGCCCGGCTATAGCCGGGGCTTTTTGGATGGGAGGCTATGGAGGGGAGCTGGGGGCCCCAGGGAAAGAGTGCAGGGTACCAGGGATGTGGAGTGGCCTTTCTGTGGCTGTAGGGGGCCGCAGGAGGCAGCCGTGGTGGGAGGGGCTGGTTGGCAGGGCCGGGCCTCCAGGGCTGAGCGCACCTGGCTTGACCCCCTGGAGCACCCATGTGGCCCACGGGCAGGGGACAGGGATCTCCGTCGCAGAGCGGTCACCCGTCAGTTTTGTAGGAAACTCCAGCCCAGAGGGGCACAGGGACTTGCTCCCGGTCACACAGTCCTGGTCAGCCTGCGATTCTGGGAGGGCCCACCTGCTGGGGAAGCAGACTGGGTGCAAGAGGCTGGGAGGGCGGTCACGGCCTGCTCACACCCCCCAGGCACCCGCAGACACACCTGTAGGCATGTCCTGGCAGATGCTGTCCCTCTCTCCCCTCGCCTGAGGGCAGGCCTGTCACCAATCCCGGACGTGCAGTCCTGGCTGGGAGATCTTGAAGTGTACTTAAGGCAGCTTTGGCTAGGACAAAAGGGGGAAACTTGGAAGACAGGAGAGCTGGCAGCCCTGGGCCCTCAGCTCAGGCATCTGCGAGGTGGGGTCTCATTCTTGTACCCCGGCCACGACCTCCTCGGGCACCCATCTCCTCGTACAGAGGGGAAGAAAAAAGGTACTGCTCAGGAATGAGCCAGGGGAGGACCAGGAGCAGCTAGGAGAGGAGACCCCCAGGGCCGGGCCAGCCCAGCGCAGCCCCCAGCCAGAGGGGCAAGCCTCACAGCCAAACCAGGGTCCGTACTCACAGCCCACCTGTTCCCAGCAAGACCAGGTCACAGCCAGCCCAAGACCTCAGCTACAGCCTGCCTGGCAGCCACATTGCCAGGGGACTGGTGACAGAGGCAGGGGACAGTCTCGTACTCCAGGGGGCTGCCCCAGGCCACAGGGAGGGAACAGGTGAAAAATAACCAGGACCCTCAGAGGACCAGGAGGTCGGTGGGCCACCGGCTCACGGAAGGGGAAGTGCTCGCCTGCATGGACACAGACGCGAGGCCCAGGAGGCCAGAGCCTGCCCTGCTCCTGGCCGCACCCAGACGCCCGCGGGCAGGACTGGAGGGGTGGGCGCAGAAGTGGGGCAGGGCTGGTGAGCCCCGGGCATCAGGCCACCTTGGGACTCCAGGGAAGGATGAAACCCCCAGCCCCAAGAACGAAGACTTCCGACCAATACAGTTACTTAAACCAGGGCAGGACTCCGGGAGCCCCGGGGGTCTTTGGGAGGCTGAGCTCAAGTTGTGCAGCCCAGGGATGGGCTGCCTGAGCGGGGAGCCCCCCAGGGCCCATCGCACAGACCCGTGTCCCATCCGCCTGCTGTGGGGCACAGGCAAGCCACCTCGCTCTCAGATTAGGTGGTGTGGGGGAAGGAGAGAGGTGGCCAGCAGAGCGGGGTGGGGGGTGGGGGCCGGGAGGAGAGTCTCCAGGCAGGG